TAGTATCCCTTTTCTCGTTGAACCTGCTTACAAAAAACTTCAAAATTCTTTAGAGCATCATCTTTATGACTAAGAAACATAACCTAGGTAAATCTAGAGAAATCATCTACAATAACAAAAGCATATTTCTTACCTCCTATACTAGCAGTTCTAGTAGGACCAAATAAATCCATATGCAGCAATTGAAGAGGTTTAGAGGTAGAAACAATGCTTTTGACTTTGAAAGATGAGCGAGTTTGTTTTCCTAGTTGACATGCATCACAGATATGATCTTTCGAAAAATCTAGTTTTGGGAGTCCAATAACAAGATCATGTTTAGATAGTTTTTGAATAGTATGCATGCTTGCATGGCCAAGTTTTCTATGCCAAACCCAAGGATCTTCAATCATAGATGTAAGACAGATTTGATCCCCAAAGTTTTCTAAGTTCTTGATAGTGTAGACATTTCTGTCTCTATTACCTGAGAGAATGATATTACCTGATTCGTCTTCTATAAACCAGCCATGTTTCTTAAAACGAACCTCATAATCGTTGTCACATAGTTGACTGATGCTGAGAAGATTATAGCCAAGTTCATCAACTAGGTAGACTTCATCTACATCACATGTCGAGCTTAAAAGAACTTTTTCAACACCAATAACATTTCCTTTGGATTTGTCACTAAAAGTAACTGTTCCTCCATCTAGCTTGGTGACTGATTTGAACAGTTGTTTGTCACCCGTCATATGTCTGGAACACGCGCTGTCGAGATACCATTTTTCTTTTCGATTCTTCTTGCGGTGTTCCTGCAAAACAATATTACTCATTTTTAGGTACCCAAGCCTGCTTGGGTCCTGAATGGTTAGACCGCTGAGTGTTAGTTTGATTTGAAGATTTTGGTCTCCAGACCCATCTCCTGTTTTTTTTTAACCTGCAATGATTTGAGGTGTGACCTCTTTTACCACAATAGGAGCAGGATGAGTTGTTAGAGTTACCAGTACTACTTTCAGCTCTAATTCTGTTCTTGCAATGGTTAGTACTATGGTCGTTTTTACCACAAAAAGAACAAGCGATTTTCTTCTTGTGATGAGCAGTCTGATTTGACTTGACTGGACTGAGACTCTTGGTCTTTTGCAAGCCATTCAATTGAAGCTTGAGTTCATTTACTTCATCTTGAAGCATATCACGCTCAATTTCGCACACTTCTAGTTTCAAGGCCCAATCTTTCTTCTCTCTTTTTTTCTCTCTTGGTTCTTCTGAGCTCATTTACTACTTTTTCTATGTCTGCAAGAGCAATATCAACAAATTCTTGAAGTTCATAATAATTAGGGCATAAAGGAGTACGTACCTCACTAGTTCCTTCATCTGACATTGAACGAGGTTCTCTTGAGTCGTCTTCCTCATCATTGTTGTCTGCTATTAGTCCAAGTTCTCCTGAATCTTCATTGTCACTTAGAGCCATGAAACATATGTTAGCAATTTCCTCGTGATCAGATTCTTCCTCATCACTCCATGCTCCGAAAGCTTTCTTCTTTTGCATATTTCTGCTAAGCTTCTTCTTTAATTCCGGACAGTCAGCTTGAATGTGACCAAACTTTCCACATTCGTAATACCTTCCATCATTTTTATCAGTTTCATTGCTCATCCTTCCTTTCCTGAAGTTGAATTTCCCTCTGCTGTTATTTCTGTTTCTTCTCATCATGCTGGTTACGACTTGAGAGAGCATTGCAATGTTTTCATCTTGTTCTCCTTCTTCTTCTTCTTCTTCTTCTTCTTGTTCTTCATTTTCTGGTTCAGCCACAGTTGCCTTGAAAGCAACAGTTTTCTTCTTCTCTTGAATTTGTCTGTCAAGATGAGTTTTCTCAAAAGCAATTAGATCACCTCTGAGCTCGTCATAGGAAATTTTGTTCAGATCTTGACATTCCAACGCAATGACCTTTGGCTGCCAAATTGTAGGTAAGCTTCTGAGAATCTTTCTAACCCGTTCGCCACTTTTAATAGGTCTTCCAAATGATTTGAGGTCTCCAAGTATTTTGCTGAACCTGGAAAACATTTCTTCTACAGATTCACCATCCTTCATTTGAAATAACTCATAGTCCCGAACCAAGAGGTTTATCCTAGTCTCTTTCACTTTATTGGTTCCTTCGTAAGTGACTTCCAGTTTTTCCCACATTTCTTTTGCAGTTTCGCAACTTGATATCTTTTCATATTCTTCTCCACTGATAGCATTGTACAGTAGATTTTTTGCTTTTGCATTAACAATGATGACAGCAGCTTGTTCATCAGTGTAATCATCCAAGTCAAGAGGATTAGTAGATACGATGACTTGACCGTTTGCATCCTTCTTGGGAGGAATTGGAAAATTTGCCTTTTTGATCACACGCCATACTTTGATGTCATATGACATAGTATACGTTTCCATGCCAACTTTTCTGTGAGAGAAATGCTGACCGTTAAAGTAAGGAGGTCGAACCTGAGAGGTTCCTTCTTGAAAGAGAGCACCAACAACAGTATTGGATCCCATGATATTTTCCTCACTAGCGATTAAGCAAGATTGTGAGCCTTGCTCTGATACCAATTGAACGTACAAGAGGGGTACTTACAGAATGAAAGTAAGCAGTAAAGAAGAGTAAATAACACACAACGATTTATACTGGTTCGGTACCGTTGTGGTACTTACATCCAGTTTCCCTTGGGTCACAAGGGTTCCCTTAAGATCTTTGAAAATGTTACAACACGGATGGTTTTAACGTGTTCACCACCAACGAACAGTATCACACCTTGAGTTCTGAGTAATTGACACAACTCTATTTTGTGTTCTTGATCTTTCTATCTTTTGAGACACTGATAACTTACAGTGTTTGAACTAAGAAGTAGACGGACTTAGAATACAATGTATGTAGTTGCACAAGTCTTCTTCTTGAAAGTATCAGTCTTCTTATAGGAGAGAAAAGAGCCGTTGAGTCTTCAGCGAAATCAGAGGCACGAGATCTTTGCAAAAGGGTTTTGACCCAAGGGGTAACTCTTCGAATCCTGCTCTTTGAAGAGTCCAGATTCGATTGTGACTTTCCTTGTCACCGCTTGAATTAAGGAGCCATTTACGCCTGGAGTGAGCTTAATTCTGGACACAGAATAATTACTGGCGAGATTGGCAATCTGAGTTCCTTTGATTGAGGACGAATAAATTTGCTTCTCTTGATTGACCATTGATGTAGCAACAACATCTTGTTGAGCATCTCCATTCTTTCCTTTTTGTTAGTCTTGCAAACATAAGATAATATTGTCATCATTGAAACTTAAAACTTAAACCTATCATTTGCCACCAGCCTTTGGTCTAGCAGTAAGAGCGCAACTCGTAATGTGTGGGTAAAAGTCTGATATTCACATGTAGAAGGGTAGAGGGGTGGCCTATTATCCATTGAGTTTCAAAGTATACGCAACTGAACCTCGGGGATTTCTCGGTTATAAAAAAAAGGAAACAAAAAGTAAACAGATATCCATTTCTTGTTCGTCTGGCTCCCACAAGGTCATCTCATGATCTTTGATAATAAAGCCAAAGTAGTATTACATGCCATGGCAATGGGAAAAAAAAAAAGAAACCATAGGTTCTTACGCTGGTTAGATTCCAGTTGTATTCTTGGACCTTAATTCAAACCTTCAATTTCAAATGATCAGAGCCTTGAGTGAGATCTGCTATCTTTAGCTAGACACATTCTTTTGAAATGCTGCAGGCTGCAGCAGCTTATTCTTCGACCTCAGTATGTTTTATACCAATCACTAGATTACCCCTCCTTGTAGGAGAGGTAGTTTCTCGGATTGTAGAAATATGTGCCAGCTCAAAGATATGTTGTTTCCACTTTAACGCATCCTTTCAGCAATTGATGTATTACAAGTGTAGAAGGTTTTGATGGGATGACATTACTGTGGATATTGATTCATCACGTATTTTTGTATGAGATCGCACATTTTAGTTTGAAGTGAAGACCAATTTGTTCTGATCCTTGCAATCAATTACAATTTAGGATGCCAGTCAATGGCCATTGGTCGATCCATTGCCTTCATATGGGAGAGGAAGAGAGCGACCTGGTGGAAGGTATATGAGCTTACTCCATGGAGACGGGCTCCATGATGTGATTATCACTGGTAATTATCAATTCCCTATTCTTTTACATTTTCCTCAATACCTTTTTGGGTACAACTTGTGGCAAGCAAGAACATTCTAACCAACTTATAATGAACTTCAAGGCCTGATAAAATGTGATTCGACTGAATTATTAAACATATTTCTCAGGTGAGAATGGTACTATTGATGGCCAGGGTGATGTTTGGTGGAATATGTGGAGGCAAAGAACTCTTCAATTTACAAGACCTCATCTCATTGAACTAATGAACTCCAGAGGCATAATCATTTCTAATGTCATTTTCAAGAACTCTCCCTTTTGGAATATCCACCCTGTTTATTGCAGGTATAAGTTTTGCATAATTTTGCATTTTCCCCTGTGAAATTGAAAAGCATGTAAAACAAATATGAAAAGAAGCTGCAATCCTATTGTGTTGTTGAAGTAATCTTCTTCTTTTTATCTACTTATTTATATAATTCATTGCAGTCGCATGTTCTCTGGGTCAGTTAACATCAGTTAAAGAGGTGCACCATGGATTTTATCCATATCATAGATGTGTAGGGGTGAGTGATCGACTGACAATAATCATACATGTTGCACTGAAAGTTTAAAACCTTAGAAGTTATTTACTCCATTAGGAGCTGAATTTCCAATTTTGGTCAATATGTATGATTTAACATGCAGTTGTAATAGGAATTGCTGACAAATTGATGTAACCATGCTGGTTAACCTATGTGTAATATATCATTAACAACAAGCTAGTCCATCAAGTATGATCTGATTTGGTTATTTCTTCCTTTGCCAGCAATGTTGTTATTCGATATGTCACCATATTGGCTCCAGCTGATTCTCCAAACACTGATGGAATTGATCCAGGTTTCTCCTCTTGTCTTCTGAGTCCCCTTTCATTGACGCAATTCGTTATAGAATAATAGCTTTTGGGTAAATGACCTAGTGCAAAATGTTCGGCAGAATTCCGTGAACTGTTTGAAGTTGAGGTATCTAGTTTTCTTTCTTTTTGAGATGTGACATTATGCAAAAGAGACATCATATAGAGGTTATCATTACTCTGTGCAAGAACCAATGATCTTTTCAACCTTCTATTTGATGCATCATTGGAGTGTATATAATAAGCTTCCTTTTAGCATCACTTTTGTCTAGCAACAAAGAGTATTGCTAAAAGAAATTTATCTGGGCATGCATTTATCCATTATCTTCCATAAAGAAGCTAGTTGCTTCTTGTAAGAAACGTCATTTCCACTACCCCGATTTCTGTTCTTGGAGGGTGAACTAATCGATTGCCAAGTGCGGAGCGTTCTCACTTCTCTAGACATTATCAGAAAACTGAAGACATACAGCAATTAGTGGTTGCTTCTTCTTTCTTTACGATTAATTCATTAATATATTTATTTACTATTGCAGATTCAAGCTCCCATGTCTGCATAGAAGACTCTTATATTTCCGTAGGGGATGACCTAGTAGCCGTGAAGAGTGGGTGGGATCAATATGGCATTGCTTATGGTCGCCCTAGTCATGGCATAACCATCCGAAGGATAACTGGATCATCTCCATTTGCTGGAATTGCTGTTGGAAGTGAAACTTCTGGTGGCGTAGTGGATGTTTTAGCTGAGCATATAAACCTTTTCAACATGGGAGTTGGCATCCACATTAAGACAAACATTGGTCGAGGAGGGGTTATCAGGAACATTACGGTCTCAAATGTCTACATGGAAAATACACGAACAGGGATTAAGATTGCAGGGGATGTTGGGGACCATCCAGATGAAAACTTCAATCCGAATGCTCTTCCAGTGGTTAAGGGTATCAAGATTAAGGATGTTTGGGGTGAAAAGGTTTTGCAGGCTGGTTTGATCCGTGGTTTGAAGAATTCCCCTTTCTCAGGGATTTGTCTCTCCAATATCAACCTTCATGGCAACAACCCCGGACCACGAAATTCCCCTTGGAAATGCTCAGATGTTAGCGGAGCTGCAATTCAAGTCAGCCCTTGGCCTTGCTCAGAACTCACCAGCAGCCAACAAACTGGTGCATGCTCTACCTACTTCTGAATATCTTGTAATTATTTTGCTTCCAATTCAAGTCAGNCTTTGCTTCCAATTCAAGTCAGTAAATCACAAAGAAGAAATGATGAATTTTATTCTTGTTCTAAGTAAAATTGTAATTTCAACTTGGTATTTCAATCATATTGTATACATGTTAGAATCCTTGCTACTACATCTCGTATGCAAAGTTTGTTTACGACAACTAAAAAACACACATCAACAAGCTAAAGGCTTATCCTATGGACATAGTGCTCCCCTGCTAGTGCAGGGTAGGGAGAGGGTGGTACACAACCTTCTTTTTCTACGAAGAGGTTGTCTCTGGGCCTCAACCAAAAGGAGCAATTCTACCTTTGTGCTAATACTCGCTCTCAACGAGTAATCCTACAGATACATACGTTAATACAAAATACTAAACCAAAACATAGATCATTAGCAAAGGTGCTTCATTCAAAGTAATGATCCAAGAACTTGCGAATTTGCCTCACGAAACCACCTGTCTTCTTTTCCTCCTTATGAGCCTCATTCTCTTCTTCAGCTCCTTGCTCCTCTTCCTCATGGTGATGGTGCAAATGCTTCTTCAGTTTCTTCCTAGCAATGTTGTTATGATCATCATACTGTGTTGCCGAAATCTTGTCCTCCTCATCTTCATCCCCCTCCTCATCATCAAAGGGGTCATAGAACTGATTCTTTAGTTTCAGTTTAGCAAACTTATTGTGATTTTCCCGCTTGATTATGAACTTTGACATCTTCTGTTCATCATCATCATCTTCGTTGTTGTCGTGGAGGAAACTTATCCATTCCTCCGGAACCTGATGCATGCCTCCATCGAACATTACATGGTCATCAAAATCACTGTTCTCACCAGAAGAAAGTATCATATCTTTACCACAAGGGATCTGATCATGATCATCAAGGTGTGTTTTTGGCTTCAGGTTATGTGCATGGCGGAAATGGTGGTGGCATAGTCTGTTAGGGAGCCTAGATGATCTAGCCCGAAAATGGCGGTTGATCGGACGAAGCCGAACAAACGTCAAAGGTAATGCCTTAATCTTTTTGGCCTTAAGTCCAGGAAGGTCTTGATTCTCTTGAACATGGTGAGTCTCTTTGTCAAGCTGGTTTGTGGGGGTGGCGTCGCGTTCGGGAAGAGTATGGGGAAGTTTGATACCATTTTCTTGTTGAGTCAAGGGTGTGCGAGCAAATGAGAGGGTGAAAAAGAGGAAGAAAATGGCAATTGAGAGTTTGTCCATTATGTGAATTGGTTTAAAATAACTAAGTTTATTTCTGTCTAAAGGAGAAAAGGGAAGACATGGTTATATATAGGATAAAGCAACGGGAAACTCGGTTGACCATCAATGTGAATGTATTATTATTTCCTCATTTGGAAAGGTGGGCAGTAAATATGGAGAAAGAAGAGGTAAGAAGAGGGGAAACTGATAGTGACATTTGAATCCCACATTATTTGTGCGTAGAGGGAAATAGTAACCATTTGGCTGTATTTTCAATATCATTGTCCCACGTTGTTGGAGTTGAACTCCCAAAGCTTTGAACGGATCTCTAACTCACGTTATGATCTAACGAGCAATGAAGTGGGTAAAAATTATTTGGGAATAGGGTACAAATTTCAATTCGCTGATCTATTTTTATCTGTCTAAGTTTTGGTGGACAAATTGATATGACACTTGTGTAGGTGGGTGCGTAGCACGTATTCGATAGAATAGTCAAGGCGCGTGCAAGTGGACCCAGACATTATTTTATCACAAGAAAAGAGTGAGCACAGCCTCAAATAATGTTTGAGCATAATATTTCGTGTACTCCAATTTAATTGATATTTATTTTTATAGAGTTTGAAAACACAAATAACAATGTTACCATATAAAACTAATACAGATTGAGGTTTATTAAATATAAGTTCATTTCATAATTTAAAGGAGGAGATTCTGGTCATTTGAAAGTTCCCTTATATATGCGTTTGTCAATTCTTAAATCTTGCTATTTGTCATTGGCCTAGGTAGGTTGAATTAAAAACAAAAGAAAACCTTCGTATAAAATTCCTGCACTAATTTATGAACGTTTGAGAGATTCAAGTAAAGCTCACTGGACCGATATTATCGAGAGAGATGAAATTTCTATACCATAAAGTTTTAATGACGCAGTTTAATACAAAACAAGAACAAAAAAGGGATCAATGTTGTCTTGAAATTGAAGTAGTATATTTTTGTATTTTCTTTATGAAGTAGGTGACGTATTCATGTCCTTTTCATTGTCCGCCTTATAGAACTCAAATATTCAGTCCTAAGAATTATTTGATCGTTACTATCTTTTTTTAATTTTCTTTTTGTGGCATTAGAAAAGGATCGAGGTAAGTCAAAAAGGAAACAAAATACTTATTTGTATTCGATGTTTACATAAAATTAAAGTAAGCATACGTATCATTTAGTCATGGTGAAGTGATATATACATATAGACAAATATCTTGTATCCGTTGATTTGATGTAAACAACTAATGCGAGTATTTTTATCACAAAATAATTAGCAGGTCGTTATCAGGGGACACAGGACAATATAATTCAGGGACAAACTTCTTTTGATCTAGCAAATATACTATCATGAATTTAATAACTCCTACGTAAGCAAGGATAAATCAAGGTATATTCCAAACAAATAAAAAATTTGTGTGAAAAACAAGGACTCCAACTCACTATCTCCTTAATTAAAATCCCATAAATTAATCCTAATACCATATAATTTTTTTTTTTTTACCCACCAGGGATTCGATGTATTCTAAGATGCTATAACCAATGATACAACACACCAAACACAATAAATTCTCTCCAAGGAACCTCTTTCTGAAAGTTTCCTTAAACACCCATTTAACTAAGTTAAAAAGATGTTATCAAGAGCTTTTGTCACTAAACACCAAGTTAGAAGGAACTTCAACGATCATGAAGAAAACAGCTGCAGATCAATGTCTATACATGAGCACGAAGAATTCATCATCGGATTCAAACAAGATGTACCCCTCATATTTTTCGACGAAAATAGTGATCCTAATCATAACCATGGTAGTGTTGAATTGCATAACCATCTCATATAAAAGTTTAAACTATCAGAAATTACATGTTTTTATTCATTTAATAATATATTATGTCTCAACAGGTAAAGCAGTCGCTCATTCTTGCGAGCCAAGGTTGACACTAAAAGAAGTGTTAAGGGCTTCAGCTGGGGTTATGGGAGAGAGTCATTTTGGTATGACTGAGAAAGTTGTGCTTTTAAAAGGGAAAATATGTGCTCTAAAAAGGTTTAGGAAAGTGGTTGTGAAAAATAGTGAATTTGGGAAAAGAATTGAGAAATTTGCTAGGGTTAGTAGACAGTGCAAGCAACTTGTTCCAATCACAGCTTATTTATACTCAAAAAGGATCAAGTTTGTTGTTTGTGATTATTATCCCATGGGTAGTCTTGCTGATTTACTTTCAGGT